CGGCTGCTCCCACCGCCGCCTCCTAGCGAATCCGCATCAACCGAGAATCCAGGGTTTCGGTAAGCGAAGTCAATTTCCCCTTCCATTGTTTCTCTCTGACTTCGCTCTTTAATAATTCGCAATGTTCCTTTCTCGTTAGTTCTTTTTTTTCCTTTTTTGCCCCTTGTCAATTCGTTCCATAACAATTTGTTTGTGACTTGGTGAATACGGCCATTGATGGAGCATGAACCTGTAGAGAATTCTCAGCACCCCGCGCTCTCTACTGATGACGCGGCTCATCACGTAGAGGACAAAGCGTCCCCTCTTTCAAATCACGGGTAAGTATTTAGGTTATGATGCAGTCGCTATTTAATTCGGTAATTGTTCGTAGTAGCATACTTCAGTTTGTAGAATGGGTTTACAATCTGAAGAGCGTTTTGTCTTGTGATGCGTTCAAAGAAGCTACACGTTGATTGTATGAGTCGTCAAGCCTAAAACGTGTTATGAGATGGAGGGGATGTTTAGACTTTTGATATTTACTCTGTGGATTAAGAGAAATCCTCCCAATTTCCGAAGATCACTGAAGTTCTCTTTGTAGTTAATGTGCTGTTCTTTTCCTTACTAGCTGCTTACGACGAACGATTCGTTTACTCTCAAGCATGTTATCTTGACGAGGGTTTGTGGACTCGGGGTGTTTTTGTACAGATTCCTCACATGTTCGAACTCTATTACGGCCACTGCCACATATTTTCTTGACAATTCACCTAGATGCCTCTTTCTCCCTCGGTATTAAAAATGTGCTCGTACATAGTATTTTGAGAACTTCAATAGTTCTTAAAGTTGATTCCCTCACCTTTGATAAGTAATTAGCATATAACTTGCGTGATTCTGACCACTAGATCAGAATCCAGATAAACTTTTGTTACGTGAGAAAGCTCCGGCTTAATCTCAGCCTTGTTAGTTGGATTTCCACCACCTTAGCATATCAATTAACCAAGTTATGCTTATTGCTGTGCTACTTTCCACATGCCTTAGAGATTCAAAATTTCATTGCATAATTTCATTGCACAACTTTTTCTGCTAATCGTAATTTTACTGGTAAACTTGGATGAAACCATACTAATAAGTCCACTGAATCAACAAAATTATATATTTACTTCTTAATTTGGATAAGTTAGATAAACATTTACTGTACTGCATCCACTGTTTGATATTCCCAACTACAGTCACCAACTGAATACTTAATTCTCCGGAAACTGGCATGTGTTTCAAGCTGGAATGATATTCTAAGTTCTATCCTGATTTACAGTCTTTGTTGCTGTTTTAGTTTGGCAGGATTTCTTTTGTGCTGACTTAGTTACAGATTGGTTTCACTTGTTATTTAGTCAGGATTAACTACTCTTTCTTAGAAGAGACTGTTCTCTTGTTATGTTACGCTGTAGTTATACGAAATTGTCCTCATCTTATTTTATGCCTGTTTGTTCTGTGCTGTAAGATGCAAATACATTAGCCATTCAATCCAGTGATTCTCATTTTCTTATTCTTGCTTTTGTTGTTCTGATGTCCTCCCAATACCTGTTACTTTTCTTTCCTTTGAGGAAGATTGTTCTGTGGACTTGAACTCAAATGTACTATGGATTTGATTCCAGGATGTTGCGTCGTCTTTTGCTTACAATAAAATTTCAGCCTTTAGCATGTATTGGAATTAGTCCTTCATATTTTTTCACACGAGTAAATGGTGGTCGTATTCCTGTATAGTGTATTTGCATGGTTGCAATAGCTTGTTTCATCAATAATTGTAATACTCTAATGATGTTATTGGCACTTTATGGAGAGTGTCTTTTCCTTCTACGCCATTTTTCTTCTTTTTGATGATTTATTGATTTAAATAATTTGAGAAGTGACTTCTGGCATTTGTGGTACAAATTGCTTAAGCCTGAGTCACCAATCATGATAATTTTAATTGAAGTGTTGATGTGTTCTTTTCTCTTTCCTTTATGTCTGGTGAAGTTTTATTTATATGATTCTAGGGAGACAGAGCCCAGATCTAACGTCACATTTGAAGAAATTAGAAGTATAATGCAGGTTATTGCAGCCACAGGAAAGTTCTGGTATGTGATTATATTCCATTCCATTGAAAGATGAATCATGTCTTGTTGAGGACAACTATTGTGCTTTTCTATATGAAATTGGTACATCTATCTGCACATGCGAGAACAAATTTTGGTCCATTTTTTGATGTTTGATGTATTTTCTTGTCCTTGTGCAAAATCATATTATTGATTACTAAAAATGATATAGGGTTACATATTCTTTATTCAAAGTTCAAACATTTATATTTTTTTATATTCTTCACAAACGTGAGTGTCATGTTGTGTTTTGTTCTATGGTATGTATGAAACTTCCACTAACAAAAACTTGGCATGTCAACTCTGTGGATATTGCACACATGTCCAATCCATGTCCAACACTTATTCGGAAACCACTTTTAACCTTAGAAGGTGTACATAAAAGGGATATTGTGCCTCTTTTTATAAGAAGCTAGCTATATTATTAATGAGTTACTATAGTTGGTTCATTCATAAATGATTTACAATTAATGCAGGCATTTATGTGAGTTAAATATCATCTATTCAGACAAAATATGCATTACATAGCCGCATCCTCTTGTCTAGATTTCGGATAATTTTCTTGGTCAAACGCCTCATTTCTGTTTTGTCTCCGTATCTATTAAAGTAGCTTTCCCCCATCTTCTTAATGCAGACATTTATGTGAGTTAAATATCATCTATTCGGACAAAATATGCATTACATAGCCGCATCCTCTTGTCTAGATTTCAGATAATTTTCTGTGTCAAACACCTCGTTTCTGTTTTGTCTCCGTATCTATTAAAGTAGCTTTCCCCCATCTTCTTATATTTTAGCTAGCCTTTTCCTGTACTTTACATCTTTAAGAAAACCATTTCTTAATTAACCTCTTGCTTCCATAACATCCTATTAAGCCTTTACAATCATCTTCTGGTGACAGGTCCTTCTCTATGATCATCAATACAGTTTTGTAAGGTCTGATAGTTGCACTTGATCATCTTTTCCTCTTCTTCTCCACCCTAAAGTTTATTACTTATATCTTCTGTGCCCATTCATCATGTTAGTGAAATGGAGGATATTATCCATATAATTAAATCGATAGTGAAATTGATGATGGCATGACACTGTTCATGAAATAAGTGTATGAATATGGTTAATATGTATAAGTGAATCAGTAATACAGTGTGTACTATAGAAATGCATATGGAGTTGAATGGCATTGATGGGTGGGTGGGTAAGTGGGGCTTTTTTTGGTTTTTTTGGTTTTTTTGGGGGGCGGGTGGTACGGTCAGATTTAGTAAGCAGAGGAACTTGTTCAAAAAGTGACTGTAGCTTAAATCATGTGATGTAGGGATGGACAATCAAGATTTAACATCATCATAAAAGATAGGATACAAACTGTGTAGTCAGAAAAAAGAAACACCAGAACTTAAGAATAACCTTAAGGTTGTGTTTGGATTCAAGGATTTGATTTCAAATTCCAGAATTGAAATCTGGAATTTGAAATCCAGAATTTCAAATTCAATTCCTTCGTTTGGGAAACATCCAAATTTGAATTCCAGATTTTAATTTAAAATTCATGTTTGGCAAACTTTAGAATTTCAATTTTAAAAATTTGAATTGAGTTGTTTGCCAACTAGTAGAATTCTAATTTCTGAACTAAAATTGTAGCTCGAAGATAATTTAGAAATAAGATACTCAAATTACATAAGTTTTGCATTGAAATTGGTGGAAATAAATGCCTCAAATAGTATATCACATATCCAACTAACTTGACATATAGATAAAATACCTTAAAATCTCAAATGTAGTAATGTCAATACTTGACCTAATAATCACCATAAAATAACCGAAATCATTCATCAATAAAACTTTGTAAACTCATCCATCACTAACCAAAACAATAAATAAAGTAAAAACTTCAAATATTGCATATAACAATCCAACAAACTAGAGATCCAAAATATCCAACAAATACAAACCAATAGAAGTTAATATTTCGCCGTTACATAGTGTCATGCTTAAGTTGCTCTCGCACTAGTTTCTTTAAGACTTTTACATCTGATTCAAATGAGGATTTCTTTCTAATGCTTACAAACTTTCACTTTGTATTTCTTTTGTACTTTCCTCCCCTCGGTTCAGAAAGTCTTGTTTTGCGAGTTCTTGAATTACCTGAAACAATAACAAAAAGACCAAATCAGTTCCATTCTTAAAGACCGTGCAACATGACAGGAAGCTTGTAGATAGTTATTAGACTAAGCATAGGCACGTCGATAATAACACCTAAAATCTCTGCCAGTATGCAACCTGGAATCTGCAGTATTCTATAGGAGGGGAAAATGTTAACTCTACAATAAGCCATCTTCGAAAAGAAAGAAAAGTATTGTTGAAGTAAACTTTCAGATCATATCACAAGTACTACAACCTATAGATGTCTAACGGAAGCTAATTTCCAAAGCAATGTAATACATAAGCATCAGATCTTATTGAAACATCAGAGAAAGTTATTTGCAAGTCAAGGTTATTACATCAGAGTAGGAAAGGATGAAATGGGATATTGGCATGCAGTGCACACATGAAAGCCCTTGATTAGAACTTCATAGACATTGCACTCTAAAAGGACAGCACACGCTATTATATTCTCAATTAGGTCAGGTTAGTCATCTGAGGATTTAATAACCCATAAGTGTATTAGCCATCACAGGATCCTTAAACAAGCTATGTGTACTTATTTAAGGTGAAACCTCAAGCATTCTAAACAGACAAACATGAAAGTTTATCACTATGTTCACATACAACCTTAATAGAACACATTACAACAAATAAAAGAATGTCACATGTCAGGAAAACACATGAGTAAAATCAAACTTGTTAACATGTAATTATTAACATACAACTGTTTATTCGACGACAACTTGGTGTTTAAAATTTTACTCTATTATGGCAAGAACATGTATGGCAGCGCCTGTAGGGATACTGGTGATATATACCTCTTTAGCAAGAAAGCAAAGGAATGACTGAAAGAAAGATGGTTAAAATGGAATAAGAAAAAACATGAAGTGGGTCTGTGTGCAATTAATCCTCCATGTTTAAATTAATCCTCCATATTGTTTAAACATTTGATATGCACTAACTAAAACTACCAAACAAGAGCTTAAATGCAAATGGATAAGTTTGGCCGGATCTGGCACCTTGAACTTTGTCATCGATACGAAAAAGAATGTTACTCCTGACATTCTTGAACTTTATCATCGATACGAAAAAGAATTAGGCTGCAATTATCAGGATGGTAATGTCTTAATGTCTTATAAAGATTAACCTCCTTCAACTTTTGACATCAAGTTAAAGAGGTAATTTTCAGTTGTCCTTTTGGATCGACAGTCCTGAAGAATGTTACGTCTCAGAGTAAATCTTATCCTTCTAAAGATTTTTTAGAACATAATATTATCAAACAACTGTGTATCTTCAAAAGCTAATTCAGCCATATACTGAAGGTTGATAGGGTTACTACTAATGAGAAGCATGCGAGAATGGGAATAAGTTATACATTCACAGGGTTCGGCCAGAATTGACTAACACTTTGAATTGCCTTTAGGGGTCCGGTGATTATGGTAGTAGCTGCGAACTGTACATATCAATAGACAATGTACGATTGTCGAAAAGTTTAAGGAGTGCCACAATCAAACATGAGCTAACCAAACTCTATCAAATTTATTATACAAGCATAAATTATTAAGGAACATCGATACTCAAGGAGCAGTCGTGTCTCCTCTATATGTTTGCAAATTGACCAAACAGCTACAAATTCCAGTTGCATCATGACGAAGCAATGACCGCAGGGATAGCTTTTTTCTCCCTCTCTCTTCATGTTCACCAAAATAAGTACAGACCCATTAAGCAGGTTGTGCTATGTGTGATGCCCTTCTTGTTGCCTCCTTAAAAGGCTGCAATATCGTTAAAATGTCGAACCATGTTACACAATTTAGAAGACTTAACTGGAAGATGCCGAGGAAATTACAGGTAGTACTCATGAATCGCTATATCAAGTAGTTTGTTAGTTGTAAATAGTGAAAGGCAATGAATCACTATCTCCAGTAGTCAGAAACTTGTAGAAGTATTTGGGTAACCATGGTAACTATCTCAAGTAGTCATTTCATCTGCTAGTATGCTAGGCTATGTGAGGAGAGGAAAACATGGTTGAAACATCTTGTTGCTTAACTTCAGAGAGCAAATTGCAATCCTTGTAATAATAATATCTTCCTCTTTTCTTTCCCTCTGCCTTTTTTATTCTTCTATATCTTCACACTCTGAACTTGAGCCATGCCTAACCCAAGAAGATGAACCCAAATCTCCTTTTACTGTCTACCAGTTCTAGCCCTTCTTCTATCTTCTTCAATCATTTTATCCATTTTGTTTTGTTGGTCTAGTGATGTAGAATATTTGGTGTGCATGTATCAAAAAGCTTTTTCTTCCCCTTCTGTAATTTTTTTTTTCAACATGCAATGCTTCTAAATCAACCGAAATCTCAAATTGAACTATTTCCCCTAAATTTTCAAAACTCTGCTTCCCAATAACCCAATTATACAGCTAAATCCCAAATGAAACCAACACAAGACAACAATAGAAGACCTAGAAATCATATAACCCCAATCAATTGACCTTATCCTAAATTCAAGTCCAAAAATTTCGCATGATCCACAAAAGATAGAGGATCGAGAAGTTCTCACCGTTTTCGATGATCGCCGTCGTCGCCGAAGGTGAAATTAGGGCTTGCAGGTGAAGCTCGTCGTCATCGCCGCCGCCGCCACCGCCGGTGTTGAGACTGGATCTCCTCATCGTCTTCGTCGCCACCGCTAGTTGAGAGCGGAAGTGGGGAGGGTGAGAGATCGCAAGAACGGAAGTGGGGAGGTGAGAGATCGCGAGAGCAGGGAGGGGGAGATGGAATTGAAATGACGGGCTGCAAGTTGGGATTTAGATTTATGGGCCCAGTATACTATTAAAATGTTATTGGATTTGAGTCAATA